TTTAATCTTTGCTTATACTTTCCTTTTGGGTGTTTAAGGCCATACAGTTGATTCAGATAAAACCGATTTATTTTTACTCTTAAGGCCATTTTAGGGTCTATTCCTCAGGGGTCACATGGGCTTTGGAGGAGCCCCTGGATCCTTTATTTCACCAGTTCCGTCTATGTGAAGAGAAGTCAAAGGTCCTGCTATATGTGTCTGTTTTTGATGCCAGTACTATGCTCTTTTAATTAGCATGACTCTAATATATCTTCAAATGAGGTATTGTAATGCCTCTAAACTTGACCTCTTGTGTGCCTGTACATGCATTGTAGATAAATCTTGGGCAAAGATCTGTTGTTCTCAGATAAACCTTACCTAGACAAATATTTCTTGATCTGCTATGGATAATTTGTCAGTAGGTTATAGGAGTAATATGATTCTCTCTGGTTTTCAAAACTAGCTAGGTATTGTTTATCTCTTGCATTGTCTCACCCCTCCATCATGGTTTTCCCACTTAAGGTGCCCCCATTTCCCCGTTCTCCCTTACTAATACCCTTCTCCTATGGTCCTATGTCTCTTGAGCTCCTTCTTTCCCTTTATCCCCTAGGTTCCTTGTATACCCTTCCCTCCTCCCTCCCTTAAACTAACCCAATTTTTATCCATATCTCCCTTATTAAGGCCTGTTTCCTACTGTTCTTCCCTTTCAGGTTATTTCTTTTCCTTTACCTCCCTGTTTCCTTTCCATTATCCTGGTTCCTGTAGTTATGTCTGGTTGCATACTTATTTATCAGACTCTGGTTCTAGGATCCACATATGAGGGAGAACATATGTCGATTGTTTTTTCTGAGTCTGTGTTACTTCACTTAGTATAACAGTTTCTAGTTCCATCCATTTACCTGCAAATTTCATGATTTCATCTTTCTTCACTGCTGAGTAAAACTCCATCATATAAATGAACCACATTTTCATTATCCACTCATCAATTGAGGGACACTTAGATTGCTTCCATCTCTTAGCTATTGTGAAAAGAGCAGCAACAAACATGGATGTACATGTGTCTCTGAAATAGGATGAGTTCTTTGGGTATATGCCAAGGAGTGGTATAACTGGGTCAAATGGTAGGTTCATTTATAGTTTTTAAGGAGTTCTCCACACTGCTTTCCATAGATGTTGAACCAATTTGCAGCCCCACCAGCAGTGGATGAGTGTTCCCCTTTCCCCAGATCCTCTCCAACATTTGGTATCATTTGTTCTCTTGATCTTAGCCAGTCTGATTGGGGTAAGGTGAAATCTTAAAGTGGTTTTAATTTGCATTTCCGTAATTATTAGTGATGTTGAACATCTTTTAAGATGTTTCATAGCCATCTCTACTTCTTCTTTTGAGAACTCTCTGTTCAGCTCCTTAGGTTTTAATTGGATTGCTTCTTGTTTTGGTTCTCTGTTTTTTGAGTTCGTTATGTATTCTGGTTATTAAACCTCTGTCGGATGTGTCAGTGGTGAAGATTTTCTCCTATTCTGTGGGTTTTCTGTTTGCTTCCTTGGCTAAAAAAAGAAATTGTGAGCCTCAACATTTGCTACATGTGTGTTTATGACCGTTATAGCGTGTGTCTTTATCTCTTCTGACTAACTTAGATTTGAACTCTGCATTGTCAGATATCAGAATACCTATATCAGCTTGTTTTCAGCTTCCATTCACTTGATGGCTTGATTTTCATCCTCAGCTTACGAGTATCTTTACCAGCTAGGTTTGTTTCTTGATGACAGATAGTTGGATGTAGTATTTTAATCTAGTCAGCTATTTTGCATCTCTTTATTGATGAATTGAGGTCACTTTCATTTAAGATTATTATTGAGATATTCTTGCTAATTCTTGTGGTTTTGATGGCTGATTTTTGGGGGTGGTTAGATTATTGTTCTTTTATTTTTTTTTCCTCCATCAGTATTGGCGGTTGGGTGGTTTACCGTGTTAACTGTGATTGTATTCCTTTAAAGTTTTCCTTTGTTCATCTATTCCCCTCATGAAATATATTCATTCCTGTGCTGTCAGGATTGAGACTGCTTATCTTTCTTCCTGTCTTTGTGTAGTATTCTGTTAAGTATTTTCTGTTCGGTGGTTAGTTTTGTGTTTGAACCAGTTTAGTTTATGCTAGTCTTGAAATGTCCTTATTTCTCCCTCAATTTTAAAATATAGCTTTGTGCTTGATATAGCAATCATGGCTGGCAGTTCCTTTCAGGGCTTGAAATACATTGTTCTTTTTTTTGCTTTTAGGGTTGCTGATGAGAGAAATAATGTTTTTCTGATGTGTTTGCCTTTGGAGGTAAGTTGGTAGTTTCCCTTACAGCTTTTTCTATTCTTTCTTTGCACTATATTTTTAGCATCTTGGTGATATTATGCCATGGAGAAGTTCTTATAAGATGTTCATGTCTATTTGGGGTTCTAAATGTCTCCTGAATTTGCATTTATTTCTCTAGACTAGGGAAATTTTCTGTTGTATTTAATTGAATAGATTCTCTGTGTGTTCATTTAGTTTGTGTGTGTGTGTGTGTGTGTGTGTGTGTGTGTGTGTACAAGTTTTTGGAGTCAGTTCTCTCTGTCCACATATATTTCCTAGGAGTCAAACTCGGGTTGTCAGACTTGGCAGCAAGCACTTTTGTTCTACTCAAATTCCAACATTTCTTTGTTTTTGTGGGTTTTTTTCCAAATTTCGACTTCCTTACTGACTTTTTCCTCCATATTGCTGACTTTCTTCTCAATATTGCTGATTTTTTTCATCTCTTTGCTGACCTTTTCTTCTATGTTGTTGACTTTCTTGCCTAGGTCCTCGATTAGATTATTTGTGTCCTCTCTGAGTTCACTGATCATTTTTGCTAGTAAAATTTTGAAATCTTTTTTTCTGGAATACAATTTTATTTAAATTTTATCAAATTATGAGTTTGTATATTTACAATTCTTAATAATTTATAATTCTGTTTACACATACCTTGTTTGATCCTTTCATCTATCACAGCAATAGCCAAAATTTTATTTGTCAGATATTGTTTCAATCCTAATTCATGTCTGTGTTCTAGTTTTGAGAATATTCCTTACCTAGCATTTTACTCATTCCATTATCTTTTATCAATAATTGAAGAGTTAATGCTTTTCTGGAAATCACATTGCCTTGCTTTTTCATGTTTCTTGTGTTTCTGTGTTTTGACTTGCTCATCTGTTGTCTGCATCTCTCTTCAGTTTTATTTGGGGATATTTTTATCAAAAAGCCTTCTCTAAATGACTCAGTTCTCTATGCAACTCAGAGAAGAGACAACAAAGTGCTTTTGGATGACGCTTTTGCTTCCCTTCCCTCACCAAGAAGCCACATGGCTGAAGTTTTGTTCAGTTTAGAGTACTTCTTTTTGGTGCATCACTCATCTTTTTCTCTGCCCTTTCCAGGTTTGCTGTCACTACCTTTGTGAATTTCCAAAGCTCTTCCTCTCTTCTTTAAAACTTTATTTTTATTTCATGTATACGACTGTTTTGCCAGTGTGTATGTGCACTTATGTATGCATTGCCCATGGACGCCAAAAGAGGGTGTTGGATCTCCTGGAACTGGAGTTACAGACAGTTGTGAGCTGCCATGTTGGTGCTGGGAACTGAACCTGGGTCCTCTGCAAGAGTAGCCAATGCTCTTACCCACCAAGCCATCTCCCCAGCCCTGTCTTCCTCTCTTTTTGAAATGGATCCTGTTTTCAGTTATTCTGACTCTTTACTAGGTCACATGGAAACAGTTTCTTTTCCTCCATATTACCTGGAACTTACTCATTGATTTTTCTCAAAGTACTACATTTGTAGACCTTTTAGCAATGGTTATCTCTAGGTTGTGTTAAATATGGCACATTTGTTTTAGTTTCATTCTTATGATTTCTTTTATATTTTATAGATTTTCTCTAAAGAGCATTCATTAGTACTGAAGATACAGCTTAGTGGTAGAGCTCTTGATACAGAACTTGCCCACCATGCACAAGTCCCTGAATTCAATTACCAGTACCACAAAAAAATCTTTTTAATTTTAAGAACATGCTTGTGAATTCAACAAAAATAAAAAGATTAATATAAGAATCTGAAAGTAAACCTTTTGTGGCCTTTATCTCCATAAAACATGGATATCAATATATCAATTATTTTTTGAGACAAGGTCTGACTATATAACCCTTACTTGCCTGGAACTCACTGTGTAGAACAGTTTGGTCTTGAACTAACAGAGATCTTCCCAGCTCTGCCTCTGGAGTGCTGGGACTGAAGGTGTGCACCACCATGCCCTGCTTAATACATCATGTTCTATCTGAGTGACTGATCATAGAGGAACCATCCATTCTTTGGGGAATCACTTTGGGAGATAGGAAGCTACATACCTGTGTAATCGTTAGAGATTTTTGACTACAACAAAGTGTTCTTCAAGTTTGAAGAACTCCTATGCCCTCAGAATCTGTACTCGTTTCCCATCTTAGGACCACAGACCTCTGAGGAGGAGGGAAGTATACTTAAGACAAGGAGTCTATAGACCTCTGTCTAAGCGTTTTTCTATGTAAGTTCTAAAAGTACAGTTACTATTATGGGCATGAGTGGGTGAAGCAAGATTCTTTTACATCTTAAGAAGCGACCCTTATACCTAAAACATAGGAAACCAGTGGAACAGAGTCTGAAAATTGTCACTATTTAATTATCAGCATCAGGAATGAAAAAAATCATTGCTTTCAGCCCTTTCGAAGAGGGATTGTTTTGGCTGCACATTAGAAGAAATTACTTTTATCATTTCCAATTTCCTTTGTCATCTTTGCCACCCATCTCATGTTGTGTGCATTTCCTAAACCTTCATTTGGTTTGTTCATCAATTTTAAAAAATCTTTTGGTCCTATCTCTCCTTTTCTTAGCTTATCTCCTGATATGTAAAGCTACATAAGCATACATAAGAGTGTCTCCAGCATAGCTGATTATATAACGTTGCCCTCACCCCTCACCACACCAATGTGTTCCTTTTCCTGTATCCCTGCTCTTGCTGTTGGCAACACTACCTACCTAGCTCCCAAATTAGGAATTTTAAGTCCATCACCTCCTTCACCTTCCACATCCAATTGATCACTGAGTCCCATACATTTTACCTTTTCAATGTGCCTCAAAGCTTGCTCTCTACTCCATCCTCTTGCATCCTGCCTGCCTATTTATTATACCAGCTTCTCAATGAGTTCTTCCCCTGGGATAATCACCCCACAAGGCAAGCAGAGGGCTCCTTCTAAAATAAAAAATTTGGTCATTTCGCTCCCTTGTTTAAAATCTTCAATTCAATGCCTGGCCTGGCGTGGTGCTGCACACCTTTAATCTTAGCATGGGGGGAAGAGGCAGGTGGATCTCTGTGAAACCTTGTATATGTATACCTTCCGTGCCTTCTTGTTGTCTACAAGATAAAAGCTAGAATCTTTTGTGTGTCATTCAGGAGAGGACTCAGTCTGACATCTATCTTGTTCTCTGACCACACCAAACACACCACACATTTTTATTTTTCACGTGCAGTTTGCAATGTTTTATCTTTTCTGCCTAATGCATAACTAATAAGTAATGTGATGTACACATTTCTACTAGGGAAATTTTCTTGATGTGAACAGATAGAATTTACCTTGTCCTCATCTGTCTTTTTACTACATCCTATATGTATTTCCAATATTAATAAACATAACACTTATAGTCTTTCTTTTTCCTGTTTGTTTCCTCTGTGTGTGTACTCCTCAGGAGCAGACAACATGCCTTCTCCGCTCTGTGCCCCTTCAACTCTAGCCATACTAAACTCATTGTTACCTGAATATGCTTTGCCTTTTTGTGACATCACCCCAGGAAAAGATGAGTGGATTCTCACAGAAATGTTCTTCTCCCTTTCCCCCTTTTTCTGGGTAAACAACAACTCTGCCTTCAACACTCATCCCAAATGCAGTCCCTTTGGGGGCTGTGTGTGTGTGTGTGTGTGTGTGTGCAGATGGATGTACATGTATGTGTCAGTACATGTACATGTGTACATGCGCATGAATGTATAAGGAAACCAGAGGTCAGTCTTGGGTATTGTTCCTCAGGAGACATCTGTCCACATTGTTTTTTAATTATTTACTTATTCATTTTTATTTGATGTGTATGAGTATTTTGCCTGCATGTATGTAAATGTACCTGTGTATACAGTGCCCACAGAGGCCAGAAGAGGGCATCAGATCCCCTGGTACTGGAGTTATGGATGACTGTTAGCTGCCATGTGGGTGCTGGGAACCAAACCTGGATCCTCTGCAAGATCAGCCAGTGCTATTAATTCCTGAGTCATAACTCCACCCCCCCACACACACACCTTGGTTTTTGAGACAACATCTCTCACTGCCTGAAGTTCACCAAATAGATTAGGCTGGCTAAAGAGCACCACGGGTCTGCCTGTCTCTATCTCCCCAGCACTGGAACTATAAGCACATGCCACCATGATCAGCTTTTTAAAAATAGGGATTCTGGCCAGAAGTGGTGGCACACACCTTTAATCCCAGCACTCAGGAGGCAGAGGCAGGCAGATCTCTGTGTGATCGAGGCTAGCTTGGTCTACATAGTGAGTTCCAGGCCAGCTGGAACTAGAGGGAGACCCTGTCTCAAAAAGACCAAAAAAAATTATGGGTTCTGGGATCACATTTATGTCCTCATATTTGTGAAGCAAGCACTTTATTGACTGAGCTATCTCCCTAGCTCTTCAAGTGCAAGCTCCTGAATCTGGGTAGTCTCAGATATGCTTTGTGCTTCCCTAACCTTCTAGGCTAACCTTAATTATAGTATTTCTCACATCAACATTCTATTATAATTATTAGCTTACATGGCTTCCTCCCCTGTTGGGGGACCCTGCTGCTAAGGTTGTAGTCCACCATGTGTGGATAGCTCTAAGGAGCTCGGTGCTATATGGAGGACTCCCTTTCTCAGAGGGGGCTTCCTGCTCTCTGCCTGACCTTATCTTGAAAGTGCCTCCAAGCACAGATGCCTGGCCTTATTTGGAACATGACCTTTGGCATAGTTACCCACAATGAAACTACCCCCAGGTTTTTTCTATATGATAATTAGGCATTGCCTTATAGCCAAATGTTAGGATCCCCCTACTACATGTAAATAAAGCATACTATGAACACCTATCAGCTGAAGCTGTAGCTACCATCTCCACCCTATATTTTTCCCTGACCGCCACTGAATAAACGAGCTGTATCACTGAAACTGACTCCCGGAAGGTCTTTTCTGTCCATGCTCACTGGCCGTCCTGACCCCATTTGTTGCTTCTGCTCCTTTTGTTCTCATGGGTTGGTGGCCAATGGCCCACGAGGGGAGGGAGAGACCCACACTCTCCTACCTATCATATAGCAATTCACCCTGTATCTTTAGCACAAAGCATAATAGGTACACAATAAATACTTCCTTGGCCAGTAATTAACCTTTTATAACACACAGTAGCTGGGGAGAACTATTGTATAGGTAACTAAGCTGTAAGTACTTCTCTGCATAGTTGGTCCATGCAGCTGTGGGAAGGTGCTGGATTCACAGGCGTTTCCTAGGTCTTGTCTATAAATCTCTGTTTATTATTCTTCCAGGTGCTTAATGCTAGACAGTCCATCTACTGCCCATCCTCATCCTCCATGAGCCTTGGTTCTGATGCAACCTATGGTCATGCAGGGATGCCCTTACACCCTCCCACGATGTCATGAGTGGCATGCTGCTGACCAGTTTCATCATAGCAGCAGCCTCCGAAACACCTGCCCCCAGCAGGTAAGAGTCCCATAGTAAAAGAATGACCTGTGCAAAAAGACTGGACATAGGATCTGTGTGAACTTATGTGATACGTATACTTCCAAAGACTCAGGAACTCTCTGTATACATTGAAAGCCTTGGATAACATATGGCCTCCTTCAGCCCACCCCTTACCAACCATGAGGTATTTTATGGGGAACATATAGTGAAGGAGGATGCTAGACTAGACTAAAGGCCCACTATGACAAAGGAGGGACAATCTCATGTTAACCTTCCAAGGCTTACAGGTCTGGGCGGGGGAGGTGTTCCAGAAGAACATGATTCTTCATGGCATAGCCTAGGGAAAGGTGAGTTCCTTCCCTGGCCTCACATACTTCAGGTGACCCTCTCTCCATTGCCTTTACCTTTCAAGTTCTCTCTCTCTCTCTCTCTCTCTCTCTCTCTCTCTCTCTCTCTCTCTCTCTCTCTCTCCCTTCCTTGCCTCCCCCCATAGGAGTATGGTGATAGTGGTATGTTTGTTTCTCTCCATGCCTGTTAATAGGTGGGTGAGAGGCAATAATCTAGAGAGAGAAGGTACCTTTCCTGATAATGAGGGAGAGAGGTCCAGGGGGAATTAGCTGGAGAAAGGACAGACATAGATGTACTTTGGGTTGCTCTGCAGTGCTTTGGGTTCTAGAGATTGTGAGGGCATGAAGTACTATGTCTCCAAGAGTGTCACAGATAGGCTGCAGTGCTGTCACTTTTAGGGGAGCAAACAGCAGTGGAATATATGGGAGAATGGAAAGAGGAGAAAGTCAGTGGAGAGAGAGAGGAGAGAGAGAGAGAGAGAGAGAGAGGATGAATATGGGGGTTGGGAAAGATATTTGGGGGAAGCTAAATAAGAAAAAATAAAGATACAGAGAGACAGGAAAGAGGAGAAAGTCAGTGGAGAGAGAGAGGAGAGAGAGAGAGAGAGAGAGAGAGGATGAATATGGGTGTTGGGAAAGTTATTTGGGGGAAGCTAAATAAGGAAAAATCAAGGTCCCGAGAAGCATGAAGGTCAGGTCTTCCTTGATCATTTTCTTGAATTTTGCCAGAGAGAAATAGTTGACTCTCATTTATTCTCAAAGCCAGGATCAACTTAGAATCCCATAGTAATCTACCTCTTCCCTGGAGTAGGGCTTTAATAGGATTGTGGGATTTGGAAGCACAAGTCCTTCCCAAAGTCTTCTTTGCCCATTGCCTTCCTCCAACAAGTGTCACCAAGGGCACATGGGAGCTTCCGAATGTGACTGTGAATGGCACAGCACAGCCTCTCTTTTCTGTGGTGGCCTAGGTGTTCTTCCTTCCTGCACTACCTTTGTCTCAAGGGCTCAAGAGAAGGGTAGAGAACTAGGTGGGGAGTGGGCTGTGAGAAGCAAACATCTTATCCACAAAAACCAGAAAGAAAAAGTTAGCTGATAGGAAAAGGGAAAGAAAAAAATTACTCTATGATTTTCCTGTGAGATATGTGTGGCTCACTTGGGGAAATGGGAGGAGAACAAGGCTCTAAAGAATAATGTGGGAGCTGGATGCAGGTTAGGAAACAGAGTTATGGAGGGAATGAAAGGCTCACACACCAGTGGCTCCCAGCTCCTTATGTGTTCTTCCCCCAGAGCATAGCCAGGATGGCTGGGTTATGGCTGGGTCACAAGGGGCTATTTCTAACTCTGGGACGTTCCCAGTCCAAAGATTTTTGTGAGATTGGCTTGAGCCCAGTTATCCTAGCACAAGCAAAGCCTATCACTAGGGGCCAGTCCCCAGTCTTAGCCCATCATCCCCTGCCATCCCCCAGTCGTCCTAGTTGACTCCACCCAGACCTCTAGAAAGGGTCAAGCAACTGTTCTAGCTATTCCTGTAGGTGGACCTCAGCACGGAAACAATGCGGAGCTGTGGAAAGCCTAGAAGACTGTGGGAGATAAATAAGGATAGGAACAGAACTCTTTTGGTACAAAGAAAGTGTTTTGCCTAAGTGATCAGGGGTGGGGGCTGAGCTGGGGAATGTTAACCTTTCTCCAGGCAAGTCTGCTAAAGAGGGAAATCAGTGGCTGTTTCCCTCTGAAAGTGGCTTAATGGAAAGGGCTTCCCTAGACCCCGCCCAGTGTAACACAGGCTGGCATGGGAGTTTCTCCAGCCCTGACTCCCTGCATAGAGCTGCTGTGTTCCATTGTCCTTTCTCCCTCCCTTTCAGAGACCCAAAGGGATGCCCAGAGCCCATCGTTTCCCTCTGTTCTCAGGGTACAATGAGATCTGAGGGTCATGGATCTCCCTCTCAAAGGCAGGCCAAAGCACTCCCTCGTTTTCAGTCACCTCCAGTGATTTTCTGGGCTTGGCATTCATGGAAAATAATCAGATTTAGAGGGATTCTGCCACACCCAGCTTCCCAGTGCTGCCATCCCAGGCCTCTGTCCCTAGGTGTGCCACACCCATTCCTCCTGCCTCTGAGGAAATTCACTTAGTTGAAGACAAGGCTTATTTTCTAAGCCTCCTCATCCTCCTGTCAGGTCTTGGAGAAATTGCTTTCAAAAGAATCGTCACACAAATGGTCTTATCTTTTTGTTCACTTCAGAGCAGGGGTGGGCCTGGAAGCAGAGTGAGCACTTTGTGTCTTCCACAGAAGGGAAAGTTAATCAACAGGAGCTACCCTTTGCAGCCCCTCCTCAACACCTTGGAATGCCTAGTCCCACTCTTGCTATCCTCGCCAGCCTGAGAGGACCATGCTGGCCCCGGTGTGGCGGGCCCATTTGGGAGTGAGCCGAAATTCCCAGGGACAAAGCTCTAATTCACTGGGCAGGCTCTAATATCACCGCCCCCTCCAGATTCCTGGGGGGTCAGTAAAAAAACAGGGTAGCAACCCCCGCCTCCTGGCCTGCTTCCTTGATGGGGCTTGTTTAGAGCTCCTCAGGAGTCTGCCTGTCTGCAGCTCACCAGACCCTGGGCCCAGATTCCTGCTGAGAGAAAATCATGGACCTCCCTAGTCCTGCCGTGGACTCTTCAGGCCGCACAGGTAGGATCACACATGGGCTGTAGGGTGGCTGAGTTCACAGCTTGTCCCCTAGAGCTTGCAACTCCCTTGCTTTCCTTTCTTGGTGTGGTTGTGATCTGTGATTTTAATGGGGTGTTTAGCTTCCTAAATTGCCTAGAAAGCCTTGTAAGAAGTTTGGTTTTAAGGTGGAGAGATTAGAGAAGTCTCAGACACTGATTGGTCCTGCTATTTGCACAGGTAGGCAAGAAGCCGGTAAACCTGCAGCTAGACATGTGGGTCTCCCTAGCTAGGGTGGAACAACTCCAGTAGAGATTCCCTCCCCCAGCTCCCTTTCTCTTCACCCTCTACAGCCCCCTGGCTGGGTAGTCCCAGCACTCTGCCTAGGTACCTGTGCTCTTAAGGGCTATTTGGCCTAACCACCATTCCCTCACACCTAACTATAATTTGACTGAGCCTTACCAGTGCCCAGGAGAGTAAGCAGTAGATAGTGAGTCTTATAGCCCAAGGCTAGAGTTTCACAGGCTTCATGGTTGGGTGTCTGAGCTGCCAACTTTGATCCGATTCCTTTGGGGCTCAGGATCCAGGGTGCTTCTTTAGCTCCTTTTCATCCTATGTTCACTTTCATGACCACCGTCCTTTAAGATTTCCAGCCTTCCTGTCTGGTGGAAAGTGCTGGTTGGAAACTGGGAGAAGTGACCTCAAGGCCTAGGTCCATTTGAAAAGTAGGGCATCTGGCACTGAGCACTTTCTATGGCTTTTCTGTTTCTTCTCTCAATCTGTATGGGGCAGCCCCTCGACTTCGTTTTCTAGAAGGTTGGGTAAACGTGAGACCCTGCAATTGGAGCCTGTAGGTGTTTGAATGCTATGACCATCTGTGTTTGAGCAACTCTCACCAGTGTCTCACTGCATGCAGGATACCATTTGCTCAGTCATCCTGGTGGAATTTATAATAGGAGGAATAATAATAGTAGTAGTACTCAGCTTTTCTCTGTGACACACCTGTACCAAGAGAAGACTTTTCAATGAGTTAGACTCTAGACCTCCTGCCTCTCACCCCTTGAACACATGCACCCAGAACAGGTTAGAATTTCTGGACCCTGAGACCAACACTTCTTTCACCTTGTTCACTTATGTCCCACACTTGGCTTGCTGCGGAACACAGCATGACACACCCCGGGGGTCACAGGATATTTGTGTTTCTGTCCAGGTTAGAGCTGCTGTCACCACCCCTGCACCTCCTTGGGATGGTACTGGGGATCCCTGCTTAAGTCCAAAGCTGTTGAATGGGTCTGTTGGTGCTGTTGGCCCCCTGGAACCATCAGCTATGAATCTGTGTTGGAATGAAATAAAAAAGAAGTCTCACAACCTCCGGTAAGGACTGACCCCCAGCTTAAGGAATTGGCCAGGACAGTTTCAGGCTCCTTTTGTTGCTGCATCTTGTGTGCCCTCCTTTCATCAGCCTCACCATCCACTTCTCTCTATCTTTCTCTGACGCAAGGGAAAGAAACATGGTAGAAGTCAGAAGATTTCAATTTGAACCTCAGTTTTAAATAGTCATTTGGATAAGTTATTTAAGCTCTCAGAATTTTAGTTCCACTTGGCTTTGTTTTGTTTCTGAAACAGGGCTTTCTATTGAAGCCCAGGCTAGCCTGGGACTCCCTGGAGGAGGCTGTCCTTGAACTTAGCAATCATCTTTCCTCCACCTCCCCAGTGCTAGGCTTACAGGCATGCACCACCATACCTGGGTTTGTTATGTTTTGTTTTTTAAGAAAAAAGAATAAGGGAAAGCATAGTAACTGCCCTCATTACCTCACACTGTTGTCATAAGATTCAAATAATACACGAAAATGCCTTCCAAACTTAAATGTGTTGATATGTAAATAAAGGAAGTGATTGTTCCATACTC